TACATCCAGTGCTGTTGGCCAGTACGTTGAATCCACAATACAGTACATCCAGTGCTGTTGGCCAGTACGTTGAATCCACAATACAGTACATCCAGAAAAAGGAAAAGTAATCCGCTGATCTGTCTGTGAAGCCACTCCAGAAAGAGCTTAAGTAACATCTCTAGTGCGTGATGAAGCTCTGGAAGAGATGGAAAAGCTGCTCAGTTTGTGGATTCATGAGATGACAACGGACAGCATTGTTAACGAGACTAAAAGCCAGAGATATTTACAGTCACTTTACGCAGGGTCAGGAACAAATTAAACTCTTCTCAGCCAGCGCTGGCTGGCTCAGACATTTCAAAATGTTAAATTTGGTGGTGAGGCGGGTTCTGCTGATCAGGAGGCTGCGGGTGAATTTTGAAAATATCTGCTAAATGTTATACTGGAAAAGGGTTATGTGAAAGAGCAGGTTTTCAGCGCTGATAAGACTAGCTTGTTTTATAAGGATATTGGCAAATGAACTTATATAATGCAGCTGGCCTCCAAAGCACCTGACTGTAAACTACTCAAAGACTATGCAACCTGCTATTGCACACCAGTGCCAAAGGTGACTTTTAAGTGCAAACCGCCAATGGTTTGTTATTGTTATGTGCTGTGGAATCGGTTCCGACTCATAGTGACCCTGGATAGGGTTTTCGAGGCTGTAAAGCTTTACAGGAGCAGATCGGAAGAGCTGGTAGTTTCGAACTGCTGACCTTGAGGTTAGCAGCTAGATTAGTAACCACTATTCTACCAGAGCACCAATGCTTTACAGAGACTTAAATCCATAAGCACTTAAAGGGAAAAACCTAAACTGTATACTGGTTCATTGGAGATGGATCAAAAATGTGTGGATGACATCTCAAATATTCTGGGATTGGTTCTACAATTGCTTTGTCCCAGAAGCTGGACAAAGCTATCTCCAGGACAAAAACCTTGCCTTCAAGGTTTATTAAGTTTGGATAATACCCCATCCTATTGCCATGCAGAACTGGAAAATGCCCACCCCTATGTAGAAATTCTTTTTATATCCCCAAACCCGATGTCTGTCATCCAGCCACTCAGTCAGAGAATAATAAGAGAATAAATAAGAAGCATTTAGAAGCTTTGAATGCTAACAAGGAAACCACCGTGGTGGATTACTGGAAGTTAGTCACTATATGCAACGTTATTAATTCTGTCAGCTCAGCCTGGTACAGTATCAATTCTGTCAACAACTGTTGGGAAAATGTTTGGCCAGACTGTATGAAAAATGTCAGATGTATTGAAGGTGTTACAGAAAATATAAAGAACAGTCAGTGTCAAAGGCATAATGCGAATGGCAGAGCAAATAAGTGAAGAGGGCTTTGATGACATGAAGGGCAAAATAGGTGGAGGAAATTTTGGCTGAGAAGACAGTAGAACTCACCAATGAAGACCTAGACAAGATGGCAAAACAAGGTATCAGAGTTAGTGAGGACGGTTATGAAAGTCCATCTAAGATCCAAGAATTGTCCCTCTTATTGAGGCCAAAATGTAATAGAATTCTGCCTTGGGAAAACATTTCATGATCATGGAGGAATGTGATCTAAAGCTTGAACAAAGCCTCAAATGTAACCACCTAACCTCATCTGCGGTCGTCCCTTACACAGAGATGCTTAAAGATTTGAGGTGAAAGGCCCAACAGACAAGGCTGAATGCAGTCTTTCAAACTAGTGCAGGAGGGAAAGTCACCAATGCCTTCAACAAGTTTGGAGAGCCAAACTCCTAAGGTAGAACTGCCAGATGTGGATCTGCCACCCTCATCGAAGTCTTCCTTTTTGGAAAATATGTGCTACCAACCCTTCCTTTGGGTTTTGTGGGGCAAGCTAAGGTGGAGAGGCTCAGTCACACTGGGCACTGTGCCATCCCACATCCTGCAGAAACATCAAAAGCAAGATTTTAGGTAATGTTTTTACGAAATTGTAAATGTATGTTCTTTGTTCATTGTGATTTCTAGGACTTTATTTTTGTGTTTGTTTAATTAGGAAAATGCTTGTGTTGTTGAGACTATCACAGCAAAACATATACCAATTCAACTACAGGGAAAGTCAGTGATACGGATTGCATTCTTCAACCATTCTCAAACCTCCTTCTCTGACATGTTCCTCTTTCATTCACATCAACTCGATGTCCCTGAAGGTTCCTATCTACTCTTTCAAATTTGTGTTCTCAGTTTGATCCAGTAGAGCTAGTTCTTAAAAGAACATAATGCTCAAGGTAAACACTTTTTTGTTTTTAAACTAGGTAAGCTAAACTAGTGTTTGGTATTAAGACTTCAGCCGACTCCAGGACTTCCTTTGTATGACTGTATTGCACAGAAAATGTGAGCATGGATGCAAATGAACTTAGCCTTGTCTTTCCCTTAGGAGCAATGGTTTAGTATTTGCAAGTTTAATGTTTGGGGAGACTTTATAGAATTTAACTATCAGGATTGAATGGAGTCTTGGGGCAGTGATGTAAAATAAATCCTGACTGCTAATTACAAAGTGGGCGGTTCAGGTCCACCAGCTACTCCTTGGAAACTCTATACAGGGTTGCTATGAGTTAGAATCAACTCCAAGGTACTTAACAACAACAACCGGGGATACTAAGACTATTATATTAAAAGTTTAGACCAGGTCTACCCGTTATGATGGAGTCCTGGTGTGGTGCTGTGGGTTAATGCGCAGGACTGCAAAGTTGGCTTGAACCACAAGGTTGGTGGTTCAAGCTCGCCAGTCACTCATCTGGAACCCTATACGGAGTTGGAACCAACTCAACAGCCAACTTAATAATAATAACAACAGCCCAATATGGTAACCACTAGCTATATTGTGGCACTATAGGATAAACACTGGACTTTGAACCACAAATCAGTGGTTCAAATCCACCAGCTCCTTGGAACCCTATACTGGGTCACTATGAGTCACAACCCTGGTGTGGTGTTGTAGGGTAAGCACTGGGCTGCAAGGTCTGTTTGAACTACAAGGTCAGCGGTTCGATCCCACCAGCCTCTCGGAAACCTTACAAAGGTCACTAGTAGTTGGAACTGACTCAATGGCACTTAACAACAACAACATGTGTGGCTGTTGAGCCCTTGAATTGTGCCTTGTGTGGTTGAAGAACTTTTCATTTTAATTAATTTCTATTTATTTTAAAAACCTGAAAATCCATGTATTTAAACACAGATTTACTGGTTTTAGCCTAAGAATTAATCTGTGCTGTGTCAGCCACACCACCAGATTTCCAAGAAGTATTCCAGTGATAAGACAAAGTAAGGGTGCGTTTCAACTGCTAACTTTTAGATTAATGTTGTTATTG